ATTTATTTATTTATTTATTTATTTATTTATTTATTTATTTATTTATTTATTTATTATTTATTTATTTATTATTTATTTATTTATTATTATTATTATTATTATTATTATTATTATTATTATTATTATTATTATTATTATTATTATTATTATTATTATTATTATTATTATTATTATTATTATTATTATTATTATTATTATTATTACTATTATTATTATTATTATTATTATTATTATTATTATTATTATTATTATTATTATTATTATTATTATTAATTATTGTTGTTAATTATTATTATTGCTATTATCATCATTTCAAATAAAAAACAAATAGGTTAGATGTGACATTGGAAGACAGCAATCCTTTAGAGTTTTTTCCTTTTTTTTTAAATCAAAACGGCCAAAATTTGAAACCTTGCACCCATTAGGGCGATTAGCTGCCCCGGTTGAGCAATCCCCGTAACATCGTGAAGTAATAAACGTTTCGTTTTCTTTGCAGTTACCGACAAACCTTCCCAAGTTAAGAAGACCGGATCAACCGGCGGTAAATTGATGGCTGCATCGGCGGAAACTTTTGGATGCATTGTTGAATCAATGCTAGCAGTTTAATGAAAGCAACCAGTCTACGTCAATGGTTGCAAAGGTATTAAATTTAAAATGACCGGAATATTTCATTTATATAATCTGGATGAATGCATTAAAAGAATTTTAGTCTTTTAACGCATATGTCACGGATATATATCGTTGTATGATCCAATTATCGTTGTAATGGCATGCTGGCTGATACGTGGATTACGTGAATCAGAGCCACTTTAGCGAGAACAACTGTATCGACCACCAAACTCCGCCGATATATTAATGAACAGATCAGAAATAGAAAGGTCTTACTTGTAGCATTATGCAACCAATAATAGAACTTATCCATCTCAGGTAGTGTTGCACCTATTGGTTTTTGACAAAAAATGAACAAACCGTAAATAAAACACTTTTTCGATGAAATTAGAACAGGTGATGACTTCCGATATTTCAGTTGCATTTTCGTTTTCCTACTTCAATCATCTGATAAATAGCATTGATTTCTTATAAGTCGAAAATGATTTGATTCATTTCAGACAATGAATTTAGCCATAACGTAATGGCTAGCTGTTAGCGTTATTATCCGCTATAATCTTGAGAATTTATTGATTCCAGAGTTGAAAAAATTTCTTAAATTCAATATATGTTAATACTACCAATATTACTTCGTCAGTTTCCCAATATATCTGAAGCATAAAGTGTCTATAACGTTTATAATCCTGCGACTTCTGTCATCTGCCTTCTCTTCGCAGTCTAATCGAGAAAATCACTGAAGAAAAAACGGAAATACACAACAATCAATAATCCTTCCAGCCAATCAATAATTCTTCTCTTTGTACTACCTTTTGTTAACGCTTCATCTTTTTCTTTTCCAACAAATTTTATTGTTTTTTTCCCCTTTTCTTTTTCTTTTTTGCATTTATTGATGCACAACGGTGAAAAATCAACGCATGATAACTTTCATGTACAGAAAGAAAATGAAAGGAAAGGGAAGCAAAAACTACAAATGTTTTAGACGTTTTCGTGGTGGATGGCTCATAATGATCGGTGGCGTTTGTTGGGTTGCTAATGCACGGAACACTTCAGCAAGTAATGGTGGATGATCGCGCACCAAACAACTCCAACCATCTGATTCCATTATTTCATTCGCATGTACATTCTGGAATTTTTCATCATTCATTACATCGTTTATTTAATAGTGGATAAAATATAAAATAAAATAGTTTAATGGTTGCCATCCAAATCTCATCTAAGTTATTAATGCACGATATAAGTTGGTCGTATTATCTATGGAACATTTTACATTTAATAACTGAACAACCACTTTTTTTTCCAAGTGATTAAGTGATTTTGTATTAACTTGTTAATTACGAAGTGAGAAGTTCATCAACTATCGATTACAATTATAAAATTTACAAAAAGTTGACAGAAATGATAAATAACAAGTATTTTCTAACATCCGAAATATATAGTACTTCATTTGTCATTAAAAAAATTACCCAGGACGTGTACACTAATCTACTTATAATTTAGCCACCTGCATCTTCAAGAATTATTCCTTCCATAACTTGCATTTAAGGTGGAAATAGATCATTATGCTAATGAATGGTTCAAACGAATATTATAGATTATTACTGTAAACGTAAAGTGAATAAATAAGTATAATATAAATAAAACGAATAAAACGATCATTAAAAATTCGATACCAATTACGTGAATCGAAACAATATTGTTTAGTTATGTATATAAATGTATTGCAGAATTAAAGAACTGCACCTATAATTTTCCTTTCCTCCTTTTCCACTGCTGCTTTCCCTTTTCTTTCATTTAATTTACTTGAAAGTCCATCTCAGTCCTCTATAAATTTTATTTTACTGACATCGTTATCTACTCTTACAACAATAAACTTACGATGTAATCAATGGCTTGGTGTTTCAATTGTTCAGCACTATGTAAATCAGCAAGGATCAATGTCTCACAGGCATTTTCATTCGTAAGGTTTAAACATAACGCTTGCTCACACATAACCTGCAAAAGTGCCGTAATTCTATCTTTTCGTCTGAAATGATTGGAAAATCAAAGTTATGAAAGCATTTCAAACATTATCATTATTCCATTTCATTTTCCCTACACACTAATTATATTGACATCGTTGTTTACACTCGCAATAATATAGCCTTACGATTTAGTCAACCGCTTATATTACGTAGGTCGCCGTGTAAATATATAAATCTCAACAGAACAACCATTTACCCGCCCCCTACCTATAGCTTTCTTCGTCTTCTTTTCCTCTTAAACTAAAGAATTACACAAGCTGAAATATAAATGGATAAAAAAAGCTGCAACATTTTCAAAATACGATTTTTTTCATGAATACGATTTACGATTTCATGATTTTCCTTTTACGAAAATATATTTTCTTCTTCTAAATTAGTAAGAAATATTTGCCAAGCAAACATTTATCCATCTTTAATTTAACTTTAAATAAGAAATAGTATAACCTAATATAACTCATTTCTCTATCCAAGTAACAAGAAACCGATGCTTTTTTAAAGAAACTAGTCACGCCAACAACCATATTTAAATTTTTCATCAAGCCCTCTCACTTAAAACATATGTATAGTCTTTCAAAAAATTTACTTTCAATCTATCTAACTGATATTTATCGGCTGCGGCTAACAGCGTATCAGCCATACGATCAAGATTGGGTGCTGTCCCAGTGTACATAAATCGTAACATTTCCTTCATAACATCTGGTTCAACATCATCGATTATAACACGATCCGACTGTGATTCACTCATTTTATGTTCAAAGCATGCAGCAAATACAGGAGACCTTGTCGCTAATACTGCTTTATGTACCTGCAAAATATCTTCGATCTGAAAAACGCAGTACCGATATAAAACCAAATTAAAATTTTAATTATAAATCAAAGATTATTTTTTCCTGGACAAAAAACTAATTTGGTTCATTTCCATTTTTTATGAAGTTTATTTCAATTAATTACAGACAAGTTTTTAAGCATCCCAAGATAACTAAAATAATCAATATAAATATCAGTCTTCCACATGAACACGTCCAAATCTTCAGAAGGTGGATGTTTCATGGCATGAAAACAACTTACATGAAACTCCTTTGTACCAGTTACCAAAAGGCAATCTGAGAAACAATGTTTCTCGAAAAGATTAGCCATATCATCGGATAACCGACAAGATGGTACCTTGAATTGCATAAGATTTGATTGACCTGTTACATTAACTGTTTCCGCTACAACTGATACCTGGAAAAAAATATAGTTGAAATCTAGCAGTATTTTTCTCGATCCTAAACAAATAATAAATAATACAGGTTTAAATCTTCATTTTTAGAAATAAGCCAAACAGTAGGAAAAATACGATCGAACCAATAAAACCAATTGAAAAAAGATGGAAGCAATAATGATTCCAAATTAAATTTTAGATCTTTCTATCAAATTCAACACACACTACTATTTATGAGTTATGAAAAAAAGGTTGAATTAATCAATTTATCTACCTCACAAAAAATACTTAGTCTATCTTCAGGAAGGAGACCATTTGCTTCATCAAGAAGAAAATCTCGACGAATAAATTTCTTGAATCCCCAATCCTTTCCCTGTACAAAGCGATATGCACGTTGAGATTCTGAAATTTTGAAATTTCAACAAAACTAATCGACTTCACATGATAATTATGCTTTTGAATGTTGTTTACCAAACTTGCATGAATTTCCATTACTCCAAGATTTCACCATC